GGTTTACGGTATGCCCGCAATGCCCAGTTCATGAATTTCCCGCCTTACCAAATCCGAGACCCAATTTCATTGACCTCTGTAATTTAGATTTGTTTACTTTTTGGGATTTTGCATAAGGTTCGAAGGAGAAACTGCCATGGTGTGCAAGGCGCAAAATTGCATTGGGAACGGCCAAAGGCATAGTTTATCTTCAAGAAGTTTGTCATAGGAGAGTTATCCAAAGAGATATAAAGGCTGCCAACATCTTGCTTAGTGAGGACTTTGAACCCTAGGCATGTGCTTACTCTGCTTTATTTCTATATTTTACTCTTAAGTTAACGTAGATCGCATGAAAAAAGCAGTACCGCTATGGTTTAATGATTTGATTGGGATATTACGGAATTATAATGTAGATTTGTGATTTTGGGCTAGCAAAATGGTCGCCAGAGAATTGGACTCATCATACCGTTTCAAAATTTGAAGGGACTTTCGGGTTTGTGGCCTTCCCAATTACTCCATTCTCTGGCCGTTACAAAATATGACTTCAAATTAAAATTCCAATCTGGATTGTCACAGCTACCTTGCTCCGGAATACTTACTTCATAGCATAGTAGACGAGAAAAGAGATGTGTCTGCCTTCGGTGTATTGTTATTAGAATTGGTCACTGGGCGGCGAGCGCTTGATTATTCACAGCAAAGCCTCGTTTTGTGGGTATGGATGTTAACCAATTTCAACACAAATCCCTCTCTTCGCACGGGGCTAATAGAATACTGACTGCATTGGCATTTTTTTTTTTTGGTTAACTTATTTTCAGGCAAGATCATTGCTGAAAAAGAAAAATACTAGGGAGTTGGTTGACCCTTCACTAGGCCAAGACTACGACTGTCATCAGATTTATTTGGTTCTCTTGGTGGTTTCTTTCTGTATCCCGCAATCCTCAATTCGCCGGCCCTCCATGAGACAGGCACATTCTTTTGGAATTTCCACGCGACTTAGATTTGCTCGTCATTCACTTTAATGCTTTTTACAAAGTGGTCTTCGCTATAGAGTTCATTTAGCAATTGAGATTCTGGTGCAGGTTGTGCAGCTTCTGAACGGCAACCTTAGCGGCTTGAAGCACGTGGAGAAAACTCGACTCTCATTTGTTCGTAAAGTCTTGGAGGACGAGTTCCTCCATTCTGAGTAGTAGTTCAAACAAATCAATCAGCAGCTTCCTCTGTTGCTTCTCTTCCCTTCCCTCTCTTATCAGAGTTTCTTGATTGGAGATGTATGTGTCAAGTGTAAAGAAAGAAACTACACAGGAAGACACTGGGATGTAAAATTTTTGCTGTTTAAGATTACAAGCTTATTTTGAGTTTGCTAATTCGAGTAAGTTGGATTGCATACAATTTTCAAGGCAATCGCTGTAGGCCATTCTGCACGCATTCGGGTAGTTTGTTGTATTACAGTCAACAGTTAGCACATACTACATAAATTTTCTTGATGTGAAGGGTTTGGGCTGAAATTGTTTTTCGCCCGAAAAGGGTTTGGGCTTAATGGCGTCCATATGACGTTTTGGAGAAAACCATGAGATCCATAACCCATCTCGAGAATTGGGTTTGGGTTTCGGTTTGGGAGTAGTTGAGTGACATCAAGATTAAGAATGAAACATACGCGATAGCAATTAGGTCGTGAATTGCGGAGGGATTAATTTTCTGGATTCCAAGTTGAGACTAGTCCAGATTTTTGACACAGATTATGAAGCTGTTCTTTGATGATATTTGTTGGTGTGATATTTTTTAGGCCGTTTGAACCTGACAGTACTTTACTATATTGCTTGATTTGGTAGCTACAACGAGAGGAATCCGGGCTAGGTGGTTCAATTTCCACGGCAGAGTAATTGCTGACTAGTGAAATGCAATTGATCAGGCTTGTGACGGTACAGAGATAGTTTGGAGTTTTAGAGTTAATGTAGCTTCCAGTTTCTGAATGGGGGTATTCATGTGAATTGAATAAGCATAAGTCATCTAGTTTGCTGCTCCGTGTATGTTTTTTTCCCCAGTTAACTTGTTCTGAAGTTTCAGAATTTACCCAATGAGGTGATCGAGTTTATGGGCTATTGCTGAGAACAATTCCATGAACATGGTTACCGTCTAGGTTTCCATTTTCCTTTTAAATCTAAGCATAAAAAACCCTTGCTATCTCGTGAATTGAGAAATTGTGAAGAATGTAATTCATTTTTGAAACAAATTATTGGCTAGGCCCAACGAGAATTTGAGCTTCTCTGCGCATAAAGGGGTTGGGGTGCAGTTGTTATGTTTCAGAATTCAGACATATGGTATTATTAACTCAGCCTCTGTGAGTTCACTTCCATGTATCTTGTGATACACAAAAATAAAGTAGAAGCGTAAGAGGTTGCAGATCTGAGTGGCATTTACTGAAAACAGGTGGAAAGAATGATTTGGTTCTCCAAATGTAATGTGCCCCACCTGTAACAGACCAAATCTTAATAATGGTAATTGGAAAGCAATTCAATTGTTAGAAACCTTATCCCTTGATGCTTCGAATTTGTAATCTCAATGTTTAAGAACCAACGATTTCCTTGCATGGATAAGGGTTCAATAGCTTTGCAATGCCCTGAAGATCAACATGTGCGTGATCATGGTAGCGTGGCAAATGTGAAAAAGACAGCACAGCCGTTTAAATTATAATACGCATGCCCAAAGAATCTTGTAAGGGCGTTTGGGGGGATATTTTACACACACACACACACACACAGTGAAATTACTTTTCATCAGGCAACCTCAAACTCCATAATTGAAGGTCATTTACTAGAGCGTGGAAATTAAAAAAGAAGTGGGTGCTTGGGTTCGTTGGAGTTGGTGTGATCCTTACACATCTCCACGCTTCTTTTAATGAACGAGATGGGGGCCATTGGAACTGTTTTTCAGAACTATCTTCACTGGTTTCTATTCTGCCAAATTAAGAATGAAGTTCAAATGTGATGATATATGTATAGTACTATGATTGTTTGTTTCTTTATTTCTGGGACCATACTCACATGCTTAACTTGCATTCATAAATAAGCGTTTTTTGTTAGGATTCATGAGAGTTTGTCGAAGCAGATAGAAATATCATGATACAAGTCGTTTGACTGACAATAACTTGGGCTCAACGCAATAGGGTGTTGGGGCAAAAGATGTAGAGTAGGATGGATTATTAGAGAAGTTGGCTTGTTGGAGAAGCTTTCACAGTCGGAGCAAGTATGAGTGAAGAGAAAGGTGCACAATTCAGGGTCAAAAGAAAATGGAAATGAAACAAACTTTCCTTAAGTACACAGGGAAGAGCTGATATGGTTGGTATGATTCTGTTAAATGTTGACTTTCATTCTGTGTCACATGGCATTTGGTTAAAAAGGAAGTGAATTGGCAGACAAGCTTCAACCATCCATATCTTTGACTCCAATTGCAACAGAGCTCTTCCTCTCCATCGATTGGGGGCTAAATTGAGCTTCAAACTACCTTTCAATCAGACCAAAGGGCAGTCATAAAATTTCTCTTTCTGTTGCTTTTTTCGTAGTGTAAATTTCATATAAGAAGAAGAAGAGGGGATTAAAAGTGTGATGTTCAGAAACAGGTAGCAGGTAGGGAGAAAAATGCACAAGACGCGTGTGAGTGAGAGCCTGAACTGGGTCCATTGACCGGTGAAGTAAAAGAGAATCGCAGTGCACTCCCCACAACACAAGTGACAACAAAAGAAGACAACAACACCCACGTCTCGCTTTTCTATTCTTTTGCAGCCTTGCTAGCTGTCTCTTACCCATCCCCTTCCTCACGTATCACCCACGCCTTTGCCTCCCTTTTTTTTTCTCCCACGAAGCCCCTCAAATCCCAACCTGGCTTGCTTCCTGTCCTCGCTTCTTTTCTTTTTTCTTAACTCCTCGCTGATAATATTAAGTATTAACCACAAATTTTTTCTTAAAGCAAAAGGCAGATATAACTTTTTTTTTCATAACAGGTTGATGTAACATTTGGCTTTAGTATTGTTCTTCTTTTCTTATTATTAGTGGATATTGGACAACATTGCATGATCCTAAAATTTAAATACTCTAAAATTGATATTCATGAATTTGGGTAAAGTTGTTCTTTTCAAATAATTTTTCTATTTTATTATTTCTTATAAAACATGAAATCTTCTTCCTCTTTAAAAAAAAAAAAAGATAAAGTTCATGCAATTCAAGGGTTCTCAATTTCAAAGGATGCATCACTTAATTCTGATATTCGGGAGAAAAAGTAAAGGAGAATTATTTTGAATCCTATATAACACAATTAAATATTATAAAGTTTATTGATAATTTAGTAAAGCAAAATGGCAACAAAAAAGTAATTTACTGAAGTTAAAATAATTGCCTAGGTTGATTGTTTGTTATTATTATATAAAAATGTTTTTTTTAATATCCTCTTTTTGATATAACTATTTCTGGTTATGTTAGATTTTAGTATTGTCACATTTAATTGAGCTTGACTCCCATGCATATTAAACATCGAAACAAAGAAGATAATGAAAGCTTTTAAATTAATAAGGGTACTATATGAAAAAAAATTAACTAATGGGAGATAGACGATCAAAATCTTATATCTAGAATTAAAATAACTTTCTCGATTAGACCTTGCATCCATTACTGGAATGAGTAATTTCCCCCCAAAAAAAGAAAAAAGAAAAATCTAACGTACGGCATGGATGGGAAGGTTACAAATACGGGTGACGGGCCCACTAAAATTTCAAGGAAACTCGTCGTTCGTGCTTTTGGGGAGACAGCACCGCGTGGTCACGTGAGCCACCCCGAACCACCGTATGGAACCGCATGAGCTGTCGTCCACACCTAAGGTTTGGACCCCACGTAGGCTCGGACAACCGTTTGACCCAAACCTATTCCCTGTGAAGAAACAAAAAATACGCCATTATTAAAATTACTGTACAATTAAAGTATTAGTATTTCTCTGTGACATATCCTTGGTGTTGCTGCTGATATATATAGGGGGAGAAAGAGAAACAGAATAGTAGCAGCGTCTGGGGTTGTCATTGCTTCTTCCCTGAGAAGCCAAAATAATGAAAAAGCAAAGCGAGAGGAGTACCATTACCAAAAAAGATTCAGCATTTGCTTCTCTTTCAAGCCATCTATTTACCTTTCTTCTCATCTCTCGCTCCGGTTAATCTTTTCTGTTTACGAAAATTCTTTCTGTGTTATCTTTGCCCATGATATTTGTGTTTGATGCTGATAGTTCCGCCATTAAAGCTTTCACGCCGTTTTCCACGAGAAACCGGTAGCTTCCTCTCACGGAAAAGCGTTCTCTACCCTCCAAAAAGCTCCATTCGTTTCCTCTATAAAAATCCATCAAACTCCCCCTCCTCTTTCACGATACGCTTTTGACCTCCTCTTCTCTCGTTACTCTCTTTGACTGGAGCTTCAGTTTTCCCTCCATGGCCAATCAAAGGGTACCCTGGTGTGGCATTGGCTTGTACATTCTGCTTTTTGCGTGTTTGATACGGATACAAAGTCCTTCATATGTGCATGCCATTTTGGACCCCGTTGATTTCTTGGCTCTGCAATCCATTCGAAAGGCTCTGCAAGACATGCCGGGATCCAATTTCCTTTCTTCTTGGGATTTCACTTCCGACCCATGTAATTTCGCCGGCGTTTACTGTGATTCCGATAAAGTCATCGCTCTCAACCTCGGGGACCCCAGAGCCGGTGCTCCTGGCCTTACCGGCAAACTCGACCCAGCTATCGGCAGGCTGTCTGCTCTCGCCGAGTTCACGGTAGTTCCGGGCAGGATATACGGCTCTCTGCCGCAGACATTATCTAACTTGAAGAGCCTCAGATTCCTCGGCATCAGCCGGAACTTCATTTCAGGCGATATTCCGGGGACCCTGGGTCAGTTGCGCAATCTCAAAACCCTCGACCTCAGCTACAATCAGTTGACCGGAAGCATTCCTCCGTCGATCGGAGCATTACCGGGGTTAAACAATGTGATCCTCTGCCACAACCGCCTCACCGGTTCTGTGCCTAGGTTTTCATCGCAGACGCTGACCCGGATGGACCTGAAGCACAATGCTCTGTCCGGTTCGCTGGCTTCCGATTCTCTCCCCGCCTCCCTCCAATATCTGTCGTTGTCATGGAACCAGTTGAGTGGGCCAGTGGATCGGCTGTTGAACCGGATGGACCAACTGAACTATCTGGATCTCAGCCTGAACAAGTTCTCGGGCATGATTCCGGGTCGGATATTCTCGTTTCCGTTGAACAATTTACAACTAGAAAGGAATGAATTTTGGGGTGCAGTCCAACCGGTTGATCAGGTGAAAATCCCAACCGTTGATCTGAGCTACAACAGGTTGTCGGGCCAGGTGTCGCCCATGTTCTCGACCGTGCAAAATCTATACCTCAACAACAACCGGTTCACGGGTCAGGTTCCGAGTAGCTTCGTGGATCGGTTATTGGATGCGACCATACAGATACTCTACTTGCAGCACAATTTTCTGATGGGAATCGCGATCAGTCCGACGGCTGAGATTCCTCTAAGCAGCTCCTTGTGTCTACAGTACAATTGCATGGTCCCGCCCATAGAGACCACTTGCCCTTTGAAGGCCGGGAAACAGATATCGAGGCCTTCTTCTCAGTGCAGCCAATGGAGGGGTTAAACAAAACATGACGCCGATCTTCAAATCACACAGTTTTTTCTACAATATATATTCATCTAATTATCTTTCTCCTTTTTTGGCCTTCTTATTCGTTAATTTAATTTTTGGGATTACTGGTAAAAATAGATGAAGGGAATAAGATTTGTGAATAGAGAGAAGGAAACTGCAGCTGCAAGTCAATGTTCCATATTACGTACTCTTTAATGATGTAATATGATTCATTATTTTACTATGATGGCCCATTTTCTCTGCATGGATTCGTCATTAATGCAGAACTACCTATCATTGGGTTTGTTTATTTATTTAGTTTTCTGGGGTGTTGCTCTGGTTCCATGGAGAAGTCACCTTTTGTTAAACCCACAAAGCCACTCTTCTTCTGCTTTGGAAGCTCCGAAGCTACTCAACGTGGCCCTGCGGGGACAAATGGAAGCACATGACAGGAAAGGAAAATGAAAGATTAAAAGACGGAGATTAGGTGGCTTAGAGTGGGAAGAGTGAAGCAGCAGTTAAACAACACAAACACACACATGGTCAACAACCTAAACCCTTGCTTTCCTTTGTCGTCTCGGGTTGTTGTCTTGCTGACAATTAAGGTCAGTAATTTGAATCAAATTCGACGAACTAACTCAAATTCGTTTGAAAAATTTAATCCTAAGCCTCAATAAAATAATATTTTTTATTGTTCAGGCATATTCGAATAGTCCAAATAGGTCTAAAAAAATTCAGGCCAAATCCGATCAAGTTCGGGCTTGCCCGAATACCCAAATAAAAAAATATATTTTTAAAAATATATATAATATAATAAATATCAATTATTTTTTAAGTTTTATATCATTTTATTTTAAAATATCATATATTTGAGTGTATTACTATAGTTATTTTAAAAAAAATAAAAATAGTATATTTTCCTATTTTTATAATTTTTAATCAAATAAAATATCTCAAAATAATAATTAAAATATATTTTAATATTAATTTTTATATTTTAAGACTCAATCTTTTTTTTAGAAAAATTGAGTCTTATACACCATTTTCTTATCCAAAAAATTATATTTTATATTTTTTATAAAATAAAATAATTAATTTTAAATTAAAAATAATTTTAAAAATAAAATTTGGGCATGTACAAATTCCAGCTCTACTACTAAACAAACATAACAAATAAAATAATATTTTTAGATAATTATTTGATTATCATCCACGTCAGACTTAGTTAAAAATTAAGAATGAATTAAAGTAAATAACCTTTATATATAGGACTTAAACAATATAAAGGTTAAAGAAAAAATTCAAAAAAATAGTATTTTACCCATAATTAAATGATTTTATTTTATATAATATAATGATAGCTATTTTTTCATATTTTTAAAAATAAAAAGTACAGTTTATCTAATAGTTGTTAAAAACTTTAAACTAATTAGGACAATAATTTTAAATTAATGGTCTAATTGTAGTTAAATTGAGATTAAATTGATTATAATTAAAATAATATGATTCAATTAAAATATATAAATATTTTTATATAACCCTGATAATGAAAATATTTAAATAAATACGACATTAATTTACAAATAAAGGAAACATTCATAAATAAATTACACATAATATAACAAAATAGTAATAGAGCTATTTAAGTACTTAACTACAAAGTTGATAAGTTATTATTTTTTTTATTCTTTTTAAGTTAAAAAAATATTTTATGTTTAATAAAATTATTTAAAAATTAAAATTGATTAAAAAATAAAAAATATTTTTAAAGTTTCGGGTATTCAGACCAGCCCGAATAAGCCCAAAGGTGTTAGGGCCGGACTTGACTATATGAGCTTTTTAGAAAGAGTAAGATTTTTTAAGCCTGATTTAAATAAGCTCAACCTGTCAAATTACTGGCTCTACTGACAACCTTTTCAACTTTTTGGCATCATTCTTAGAAACAAACACGAAAGTTTCCATTCAACAAAAAGAAAAGAAAGGAGGAAATTTCCATGAACCAGCACCATGCTTCTCTATCTCCCAAAATAACAATGTCCACATATATTCAGCTTTTGTATCTTCATAGCCATTTCAATTTTCTCTTTTAAAATGTAAGATAAAAAGAGCAAAACTACTTATCAAATGATCTGACAAAAATATTTAATATGCTAAAATAAAAAAAATGTACAGGTACTCATAATGTTGTCTAAATATAAGAGTGATTAAATCATTAACTTATTTTAACATTTATAAATTTTTAATATTAAATGTTGAATGTGTTTGCCACCTATCAATGCACTAAACAATCCTTACAACTGCATCTTTTTCTTCTTCCTTTCACTCTCTAAGCTGGATACATCTTCTTTCTCTTCCTCTCAAACTCTGGTTTTACATTTAGGTGTACGTGGTTCGAATTGCAAACACCTTGTTTTTTTGATTTTAAAATACTAGATGTCCTGGTAAGGTATCTTTGTCCCTTTATCCTTTAACATAAAACTATGATAAATAAAAGATACATGCTTTGTAGGATAGGATTAATGACATGTAAATTTCTTTACAAAGTCCTGATTAAAGAGTGATCGTACCTTTTTTTTTTTTTACCATCTTAGTGGATCTCTAATCTCGAATGAATGCGCCATGACAGTCTTCTTCAAACAGAATCTCAGTCTTTATTACCTCATTATTTCTTAGTGCCCTTCTAATAAAAAATTTTTTCCCAATCATTACCGGTCAGGAAGGGCTCAAATGATTGCAATAAATTACGTACTAGCATCCATCCCTTTCAAAGAGAAACACCCTTCTCACAGCGTCACCGACAGAAACAACTGTGAAGCGCACTCAGATTTGTTAACTACTTATCATCAACCTTTTCGGCCAAAATATTGATACATAAAAATTAAAAGACCTAACTGACATCAAGTTATAAAAAAAGATTTGGTCGAATAAAAAAAATTACGATGGCAAAGTGTAATATTCTATAATCTATAGAATAATGAAATAGGAAGCTGTTAGTGCATATTAGAGAACCCAGAATCATTCGGCTTCATTTTTTATCTCGGGAAATATGTGCACAACGATTATTAGCACACAAGCAGAAGCTCGGGCGAAGAGTACCCTGAGAGGCAGATTTACAGAACAAGGGATGCAATGGGTACACAGATGAACTCAACTTATTTGAGCGATTATTTATACACAGGGTGAAATCTGGAATATAAAGTTCATATGAAACTTATAATATGTCAAATACGATTCGCAAACTTTGATTACCGAGAGGCGCTATTTTTAGTCTTCAAAAAAGCGTGTTTTCCAGATTCTCATCTTAGTGGAAGGGGCTGGAATTTCACTGCTCCCAGGAAACCCCCATTTGACAACATCCCCATCCCACGAGGAGCTAACCAGCGTAGTCTGGTAAGGATGCCAACTACAGTCTCTTACTGGAGATTTGTGGTGCTTCAGTGCTGCCACTTGTGCTCCACTCACCTGTTCCAACACATAGAGCCAACCAAAACTCAGCTTCGCTACTTTTTCTTAAACGTGTAAATATAGACATAGCAGCAATGTGTGGCTATTACATACCAAATCATATATATAAACGCATGCGTTGTGTGATCCCGTATAGATGTACTTTTGGCCAGTGCTGCATATTTGAAGAGGTGGACATCAATTAAATGAAATATTAACCCATAATGGCCCCAACGGCCGAAAAATCAACCTATTTCGGTCACCACAATCAAAAGGCAAGTAATATTTTCAAGGGAGGAATCTGTATCCACACTTCAGAGTTAAATTGCTGAGCAAGTTAGGTGGAAAGACTTGTATATCTTGTCCCACCCTCAGTCCTTTCTTCCATTCATAAAATCCATGCGCAAATCACCAAGCTATATCAAATCATAATTTTTCAGAAATTGGATCCAGACTCACCAGGAAAACTTACAGGTAAAACACAAAATGAAAAGGGGCAAATACTTGCCAGTTTGACTCAATGCTCACCTGAATGCTGGGGAGAAATGGCAGCGGATAAGAGTACGCAAAACAGAATGACCTCTATATGTAGCCACTGACTGATCATATGGGTGCTTCAAATCTTTTGCCTGAGGTGGGTAATCCATCCATCTGTAATCCCATTCGTAACTCCTATACCCAGGATTGCTGAAACGAATAGAAAATGTTATTATGGCCCATTCATGCAACAGTAATGGTGTATCAGCAAGACAATACCATAATAATGTATTCCAACAACAGAACAGCATTGATAATTGAATCATGATGGCCTCCCAAATTTCCATTATCAGCTCATGTGATGGTAGTTTTCCCCATTTGCACAAGAAATCACATATCATCATCAAAATACATCAAATTCTCCATTTTAATGAACAATACATAGACATCAGAATGACAATTTTGTAAGCAGATCTGATAAACCAATCCAATTACAAATGCACAAGTAAGCATGTCAGGCATAATTTTCAACCTGACTTATTTTTTACATGCTTATATGTATATTTATGATTTGCTTGGTTTCCTCATTTTTTTAAGACTGAGTTTAATTAAGAATCTCTCCAACAAAATATGATATTGCCGGGTATTAATGAATGGGCATACCAGGTTTCATTTGATGACATTTTGCGAATGTCCCAAAGTTTGATGGTCTGATCTTTACCGTTTGAAATGAAATAGCGTCCATCACCACGGCTATCAATATATGTAATTCCCTCAAGGTGTCCCATCAGGACTCCTGCTGGCTTGCCTTTATTATTTAGGCAACGTCGATCCCATACCTAAATAAAACTTCTATTTTAGAACGTGTCACAAAATTAAACTAGTTTCCTCTCACAAACTACTTTATACAGAAATTTTGGATTAAGTGATGATAGCCCAATGACAAAAACTGAAAAAATTAACTCAAATAAACTAAGAAAAACCCTCAAATTACCTATATCTTAAAGTTAGGGATGTTTAAAATGCCTTCCCATGCTATAGGTGCCAGTAAGGCAGTAACTTCCATACACAAGTAGAGGTTGTGAAACTCAACTGGCAGAAAATAAAACAAACCATCTTAATTGAACTCCACCTTGTGGTGTTGGACATACCTTACAGAAAGAATCATCACTTCCAGAGTAAATAAGGTGGCTCGTTTCATCAGCAAAACATACTGTGTTGACATCAGACTACAAGATAAAAAAAAAAAAAACAATTACATCAAATGTTAGAACCCCCCTTCGTAAATGTTTTTGTTCCATTGTAATCATTATATAAGGTAAAAGTTTTCTCAATGAAAAAGAACAGTAGATGATGGAAATCTCTCCACCGGGTCTGGAACGGTTTTGGTTTTGTATGTGTGTGTCTGACTGTTTTTCTATTACCTTAAGACCAATATTTAATCACATAAGCAAGGGTTCAACGATTTCAAAAATGAAGGAACATATCAAATCCAAGCCACAAGCAACTCAGACCCCCAAAAATTTACTGCAGACATAACCAGGACATATTATAAGTCAACTCCTGTTATAGTCATTTAAAATCTAAGTTAAAGAAATGAAGTGTTTATGCCTAGGAACATTACCATGTGTGCTAAAATTCGCAGAGACAGCTTATTTGCTTCAAGGTCATATACATATATAGAATCACCACTAGTTCCAGCAACTAACTCTCTCCCGTCTGTTGAAAATTTCACAGAGAATATACCGAAAGAGTATCCTCCATCATCATTCGAAGTAAAATCCAAACCATCGTGAATCTCCTGCATGCCATATGAACTGGAACATATTATTTATGAGAAGAATACCAGTCCTATTGCCTAACATACGGCAGTTCTGATTGCCACACATCTCTAAAGATTTGATTTTGTCATCTTTGATGCAATCTGCTATATTTGTTATGTTTAGAAACAAGGACCCTATTTATTGAATTGCAATCAGTAGAAAATTTAAAAACTAACAAGCAGAATTAGCAGTCACAAGTCAGTACCGTAACATTTGCCAAGGACTCTGTCTCAGCAGACCCAACATTTACAATGTGTACAATAGGAGACATGCTAGCATAAACCTGAAATTGAAAAGAATAATTGCTATTTGTATTAAGGCTAACAAAAGCATAAATATACAGAACACTAACATCAAGAAATAAATTATTGTAAAGGCATAGGCATATATGCTTCATGCATAATGAAATGCAAAAACTCACAAGATAGTGTTGATCAGGGGAAAGAGTTGTATCAGTGATCGTCCATCTCAAACTTTTGGCTAGGATATTCTTCTGAACTTTCCAACCTTTGTCCACATTGTATATTCTTATGTGGCTTCCCTGCAATATAGGTGTTCTTATTTTAATTAAAACTATTGCATACATTTTTCCTTTTCTCTTTTCTTTCATACAAGAGATCACAAACACTGCCATAAAGGAAACAAGCTTCATGCTTCCCAATGATGGAAATTCATGGTTCCTATTTCATATTTCAATTATTTTTGTTCCAGTCCAGGATGTATTATACATTACATGCAACATGATTATATAAAAGAGGTAGTATATGGGATCTCAACTCTAAGGAATAAAAAAGTTGAAGTAGGATACAATTTACCTGAAATCCAGCAACAAATAGGGAGCCATCAGCTGAAAACTGAGATACGTATGCTCGAGTTGCCATTTGATCAATGAGCCACGGACCATTGACTGGCAAATACCTGCTCAAGATATGACAACAATCGGATGATGAAAACCTTCCCAAGCCTGAATAATTAGATTCCCGACCTGCCAACATTTTGACAGGAGAAACAGGCAACTGAGGCCTTCCAGGCCCAACTCGGCTCAGCAGATGATGGGGTGTTGACTTCAACTTTGTAATCTGCGCAATTTCATTGTCTACAATTTTCATTGGTTTGTTAGTTTGTCGGCTACTACAACCTTCATGGATGGTATTTCCATCATCGCAAAGGTTAGATTCTATCTCCAGTCTACTCATTGCATAACCCATTTCTTCAATGAAAGTTGCACCTGGTATTGAATACATTATCATTCACAGCAACCGGCAAAACTTTGTATTGCCTAAGCATCTTTTCTGCTACAGAGTCTTCATGGCTTCCCCGTGAAGGTCAATCCTACAGAAGTTATAGAACAGAAGATGAGTGCATTTTTAGCCTTCATTTCTTATCAAAATCACATTTTCCAAAATAATTGACACTCAGATAAATCTACTCCATTTCTGATTTATGCAATAATTGACAGCAATTGAGTTCTTTGCCTGCCCCAAACATCTAAAAAAATGTAGCATTTATGAAGGATGGCTTCTTCGTTGACTCTAGTTTTCAATGGACGGCGGGGCGGCCCGTTGACATTGAACCACAAAATTTACAGGAGTACCTTAATCTTGCGACTTCTAATAACAGGTTCTACAAACGCGTCAAATATCCAATCCTTAAGTTTGAGGTATGACCATCGGCGCTCTTCAGTGATTTTTGGAGGATCACCCAGTATCAGTTTGCACCCCAAACTTTTACACGCTCCAATAAAGCTCAGTAACTAGTAATTGAGGCGCAGAATCACATATGAATCGTAAACCCAATACCTTATATTACCCAGTGAATCACCTTAAAAATGAATCAGTTATTCAGTTCTCGGTAAGGAGAAAATTGAAAGACATCTTCAATAACGTGCAAGACCACTGAAACTGAAACCTCAGTTTTATACTGAACAGCGAAAAATTTTGTGGAACGATTCAAGATGATAAAAAATACAGTTAACAAGTAAGGAGGAAAAAACTATAAATCTGCAAATATCTGGCAAGTATTACCATGAAAATCATACCTCTGTCAACTCAACAGCCAAAGAATCTACTTTTTTTTTTTTGTCTTAAACGAAGATTCTTCGATGAACATGAGACTCGGAAAAGGTAAAATTGAACAGATTTTTCTGCTTTTGGGGTTGTTGGCATAGTAATATAGAACGGAGCATTTCAAACAGGAAATATAGAAGGGAGTTTCCAAAGGATATTATTTGTATATTTGGATTGGATAACCCGATAAAGCCGGTGGATGTGAAGAAGATAGTCGACACTGCTGCGTGTGCAGGAGGGCGTTGGTTGTGAGGAAACGCCCATTTCTGTGAAAATACAAAAAGGGGTAAAAAAAAAAACAAAAACAAAAAACTGAAGAAGCAGCTCATTCACTCATATATCTTCAATTTTCATTTACATGCATTATTTGCTGCTCGATCTTATTCATAAATTATTTTTATTAATTTCATCAATATTAATATAGTAAAAATAAAAAATAAAAATTAATAAAAGTTTAAATATAACTTTTGAGTAAAAAAACAAAAAATAATAAATCATATAATATTTTTTTAATCTTTCTCTCTTACATTTTAAGAGTAATTTAAGCATTTTATTTAAAATAAAATATTACTATCAATTTAATAACTTATAAATTAAACTATTTTACCTTTTTAAAAGGCGAACAATACAATAAATCAAAGGAAGTATTTAAGTAATTATTAATTATTAATATTAATGCTTGTCATATCAAATGGGAAACTATAATTTGTCGGTTCTATAGGTAGGAAGGAGTTTTTTAAAAAGAGAATGATAGAAGTTTTAAAAAAAATTAAATAATTTAAATTAGGTCTCAAGTGTCAAATTTTAAATTTACAACTCAATCTAAATTTATAACTCGTTATGATGAATTTACAACTTATATTTTAAATTTTAATAGAAAAATAATTTTTTATTCTTCAACTATATTAAAATTTAAAAAATAATTCATAAATTTACTACAACGTAATTACAAAATTAAGAGATTGAATTATAAATTTTTAAAATTTAGCACTTGAACATAATTTAAATTAATTAATTCTTTTGGGACCTCTTTGTCATTCTCTCTTCTTCAAATACAAATGATTTGAAATTTAAAATACAATTACAAACATTTTTCAAATTGCATAGTTTCTACATGCAAAAGGATAAGAATATGTTTGAAATTATGGCGGTCCATGAATAGTGATGAAGCCAAATATTTTAGAAGGAAAGGAAGTATACATATACATATATTTTATAGGAGTATTAAAAGTAATATTATTAAATTTGATAATTATTTATGTATATTATACATATAAATTTGAGAAAAATGAATTCTTTTATTAAAGGAGAAAAATATTCATGAAGTTTTTCTTAATAGCACTTAGTATCCTTAAGTGGATGAGGTTGCAAAAGTGCTCATAATATTAATTTAATGAGTGCAGGAGCTCTATGTTAGCTGTGAAAGTGGACATATAAGCAAATGGTTGAATTATTTTGTTGACGTGGAGTGAATAATCTAACCTAGGTTATCCTTGTCAACGAGAGCAAGAAAAAAAGGAAAAGGCACAATTAGATGCACACATTGATTCCAAGTCCAATCTCAGCATTTCCCCTCGTACTTGACATCTTCTTACTACCTCTGTCTACATGCTGTTTTTCATTGCTTTGCTTCTTTGTCGTTGATGTGTCCTTCTTCTCCTCTTGCTCTACCTTTGTTCTACACATTATTGATAGCCAACCGTGACCTTATCCTGTTCTCCTCGCTTATTGATCTTCTCTACTTCATCGGTAAATTTGATGGTCTCATTAGTAGCTTAAGTAACTTACAAAATGCCATTCACTGCCACAACCAGTCTACTGTAAATGCCCTGTTGATACCCTCCTTCCTCCTCCTGAATATTGACCTGCTAATCTTCTTGCCCCTAATGGTCTCCCTACCATTACATGAACGATAGAACAACAATTTAATAGACTAAATGAAAGCCAATGTCGACAAAACCCATGGTGAAAGATCTAGTGAGAAATGGATAGTAAGGAACTTAAAAGGAAGAGGCTAAATTATTCGATGGCTTTTTTTCCAAAATCAAAGGTTTGAAATGCATAGTAATACAATTTTCTCATTTTTTTTCACTCTCTTTGTTTTCTGTGTCTTCCATACTATAGCAAGAAATGCTTTGATCTAGGTGCCTAAATTCTCATATTGAGTTTTACTTTTTCTCTTATGTTGCATCATCTACGTCTTCTACATGCCATGCTAGTACCTAATGAAGATGATGACTCTCTTTATTTTTTAGCCTGTGCTTTTCGTATGGTTAGTGAATGATTTATTACTTGCATAGGGTTGAATTTAATGGGAAAGAAAATGACCTATAGTGAGCTCCATATAGTCAAATTTATGTAACATGACATATGGTGACATGTGGCAATGACTATGTGCAAATATAATAGACATTCAACTCCTCAAACAATTTCGACATAGTTGTACTCATTAAATCAATGTTAGAGGTACTTGTGTACCCTCATCTACTTTAAAAAACTAGGTGTCTCTATAAAAGAACTTTATAGATATTTTTATCCTTTTAATGCAAATTTGTTTAGTAAGCTTGTGCCCTTATATTTTGTGTAGGTATTGTTACCTCCCTGTCTTTAGATAATCAAGAGTTTTCTATTTTCTTCAAGACCTAAACTAATTAACTTGGAGGATAAGACACAGTACAATGTGACGAGTAGGTAGAAGTGTGTGAGTTTTATGTTATTCATACTCTTAGTTTTTTTTATACAATAAAGGGCAAAGCCTAACAATGAAAATTAAACAAGATGGGATTGCAATCACAAACACTCACTATCTTTAAGGTCCATTAAATAAGAAGGAGCCACATCTAAAAGAAAAGAAGATTGAAGTCCCTCTTTTGCCAAAACGCTAGCAACAAGATTCTACTCCCTCGATACAAGTATAAGTTGTGTAATATCACACTTACTAAATTACAATTTCCTTTAAAATCTAAGGCAATCATTAGACTAAACCAATTGAATTACTAAGTTTGAAATTTTGAAGGAAAGGGATTCTAAGTTTTTCTTAATTCAAAATTACTTAAATAATATTAAATGAATGTCAAATTAGAATAAAATATTGCTTCAAAAGCATGGGATATCTTTTAAGAGTCAAAGGGACTCAAAACCAGTTGAAAAACTTCAAGGAGTGAAAACAAGGTGACATGTCACAGCATGTGCACATGTTGTGGCAGCCCCTCTCTGTGCCACATACTGCTACATAAATGCCATGCACCGCGACATGTGACACATTATCAGATAGTATTTTATTGTCAAATGACAACAACCAAGTGTAACTTTTGATGCATCCCATTTCTACACCTGATGTTCTATTAAGATGATATAGATATTTATAAAAAGATCTTTTCATGACCTAGCCAATGACACGAGTTTTACTTCTAAATTTTGTCACACAAGGAAAATGGACAATCAAATATATTTTCACAACTTTTCACAATTTTCATATCTCTAGGGTGTCCAAAACTATACACATAAGCTAAAAGCTACTACTAATATCCAGAACATACTCAGTAAACTTAGAATTACTTATAGAACACACCACATGCACATAATCCTCACAATACTAAATTCTCACTCCTTAACCCCTTTAATACCAAAAACATAAGGGAGAAGTCTTGATATCACATAGATCATTAGATTTTAAATTCAATAATATAATAATATTTCATACACTTGTACTAGTATTTTAGTCTATCAACACTTAACCAGCTTACATATAACATTTAAGGGCCTAAAATATATCCCAAGATTATAAGAAATGACGTAATGTAAGTGTATACAAAATACATCTTAATTGACAATATTCTAACTATTACACAAAATAAATGGAGATAGGAGGCTTCACAGTAGGAATACTCAAATTTCTAAGCCTCCAAAACCTTTTCCCTTATGACACTAGAGCTAGAGCTTGTAAAATATTGAAAGAGATAGGTGAATATGACTACTCGATAACCTTATACCCTCCTATTACCTCCGACATGAAATTGATGGCTATTAAGTGGCTATATCTATAACAATGGACTAACCCAGTCTTTCACTTGTAAGGAGCTATTGAGCTAAGGTTAACTCACTCACTTGTATATTACAGTTTCTTCCAATAGTAACAACCGTGAAGTATCGTACCCCTAAGCTAGCCTCCTCATGAACCAATAGAAATTAATTAGGTTTAAGTCCTTCATGAAATAAGTAGGATAGTCTCGAATCAACCATGAGACAAGGGCTACCTATTAATTTCAATAGTTGACGCTAAGGCAAGCTTCCGATTCTAATGGTAAGCTGCCAGTACCACGTGGATTTACTAGTCTACTCCTCTTCCTAGGCGATTGTGACCAATTACACAACCTTATGTCATATTCACATCAATTTCTCACTCCCAACAAACACCACATCATGTATAATGCATATGGTATATTTTTGCAATATCACATCATCAATTATCATCATTAAACAAATATATGCATTATACATAAAGTTCTTCATTTTTCAAATCAATTTCATGTATCAAATAACACATTGCCAAAAATTGCATCATTAACATGCTAAGCATCAAATAAGTTCAAATCATCAATTTCAACAATTATCAAATTAACATGCAACTATCCAAATTAGATTTTTCTCGACTACCTCAAACCTTTAAAAGGTCAAAGGCTTACCCTTCATAATACCAACTTTCAAAGCTTCTTTCCAAGCTTGAATGGTTCCAAATGAATGGTCTATAATCAATTTTACAATAATATCATCATTAGCACATTATTAGGCAATTACCAATATTAAACTCCACATTATCTATTTTTACCAAAATCATAAATTTACACCCAATCATATCCAATGAGTTTACTAGATTCTATTAACCCACATTATCTCTAATGAGTCACTAAACACCATTAATGAACATTACATACTCCTAACAACCTCATTTATTAATAGCTCTCAATTATTAACTACTCATAAAATTATTAATGTAAAGTTTAAATACTCTAAACAATTCTCATTATATCCATTTTAACTAATGGATTCAGATTCATAGCTTATATAGACAAAAAATCACTCTCTCAATTCAAACCCTAACTTTAATCCTGATAAATATGAAAGTAAAGAGAAGAAGGAAGCACATTACACTTACCTTGAGTTTGAGAAGCTTTAAAATATCACCAATGGTCTCAATGTAGGTGCTTAGTAGAGCTTTAAATGTTCCTTTCATTTTCAAACCTTATCCTCTTT